GGGGAGGGGAAGGCGCAACGTACGAGTTTTGCCCCGCTGGAAATGTACGCGTTGAGCCGCCGTGTGGCAGGCGCAAGATACTCGTCGACCCAGGTATGCACCCATTGAGCTCCCGGCTCGCTGCCCTGTTGTCAGAAACAACAAAAGACGCGGTCAGACGGGGTGCTGCCCACAAGGTTTCGCAGGGCGAGAACTCGCGCGCGCAACTCACCTCCCTCCCAGCGGCGGGACAAGCAAAGTTGGGCGCGAGGGTAGTGTTGAAGCCCTCTGCTTCAATCTGCACCTCCAGATGGACCTTCTCGCGCCACGCCGCGCCCCACACGCCCACGAGCCAGCTCGTGGCGCTCTCGACGATGCGGTGTTGGCTGCCTGCGCGCACGAGCATCTTCTGCTGCGGCTGCTGCGCGCCTTCCTTGCCCGCCGCCGAGGAGGAGGAGGAGGAGGAGGGCGGGGCAGTGTCGAGCGCCATCAGCGTGCCATACTCCACAGCGCTCTTGACGCCGCTCTCGACGAGCTGGGCGCGGCCCAGCGGCACGAGCAGTTCGGCGCCCAGCTTGTAGCGCCACGTGTTCAGAAAGGCCAGCGGCCCGCTGAAGCGCGCCGCCGACGACGACGACGACGACGACGACGAGGCAGAGGAGGCGTGGAAGGCGCGCAGTGCCTCGGGTGCAGCGCCCGTGGTCGGGTAGCGCGAGCCGTGCTGTGCCCCCCCGCGCGCGCGAAAAGGAGACGTCAGCTCTCGAGGCGGGCAAGCAAGTTTGCGATCCCAGGCGCGCGCCAGGCCGGAAAGGGGGCCCACAAGCCTCCCCCCCCCCTCCCGAACTTACCCGATGCAGAATGTGTACTTTGGAAACGGCACAGCCCGCGGGGAGGTCGCGATGCTTAGTGTTGTCGACGCCAAAGTCGGACGCTGCGACGTAAGGCGATAGAGGACCCATGTGCTCGCTGTCTCGCCCCCGGGCGCCTGATCAGCTTTGCCCCTCGCCGTTCTCGGGCCTTGAGCAGAGAGAGAGAGAGAGAGAGAGAGAGAGAGAGAGAGAGAGAGAGAGAGAGAGAGAGAGACTAACTCACAATGGCCTAAAGCCCGTCTCCTTGAGCGCGGGCAGGCGCGTCTCGATGGCCGCGCTGCCTCTCGTCGGCGAGCCGCCGGCGTGCGTCTGCGCCAGGCCAGCGGGTGCGCCCGTCTTTGTGATGCCAGCATATCCCACCTGCTGATCCCAATCATACGGCCTTGCCTTACCGTGCCACCTCTCCGTGCCCCAGCTATACATCTTGCCCTTGACGCCCGCGGGCGCAAAGGCCGCGGCAAACGCGCCAATGACGAGCGCCGCGACGAGGAGCAGCAGCATGAGGCGCAGGCGAGCAGAGCGGCGCAGCGCAAGGAGCAAGTCGGCGAGCCACGTGGGCCGCCCGGACTTCTCCAGCGCCGGCATGTCGCGCCGCGGCAGCGCCATCTCGGCGTCGTCGGCGGGCGTGCGCGAGAGAGAGTCGACGAAGCGATCGGTGGCGCGTTCGTCGGCAGCGACGTCGTTGGAGGGGAGAGACGTGATGTGAGCCTTGCCTGAGGCGTCGGTGGTGAGACGATGCAGACTGCCCCCCGTCCCCCGCCCGCGCGTCGCAGCGCAGTGGTCAGCGGAGAGAGGCGCGAGAGATGGGAGGAGAGAGAGGGGCAGGAAAGAGAGAGACGTACATGAGTGCATCAGCCTCTGAGCCATCGCCCTCGGCGTCCGAGTCGAGCGAGTAGCGCCTTGCCATGGCCGCTTGCTCTTGCCGGTTGCGACGCTGTGCGCTGTGCGAAGCGGTGCAGCGCCTGCCTGGTGCGACACACGACGCAGCTGGAAGGCCCACTGTTGGCGCTGCAGAGAGAGCGTGCGGAAGCAGCTGCAGACGCGTTGTGAAGCGAGCCCCCGAGCGAGTGAAGCGAGGCAGAGAGAAAGGAGACGTGAGTCTCAGTGAGGAGAAGGACGTGGGGCAAAGAGAAGCGAGGCTTGGAAGCAGGCCAAGCAGCGCACGAGCCGCGCGAATCACTCGCGCCCCTCGAACTCATCACGCCGCGGCTTCTGCCCCTCAGCGCATCTCATGCCTATTCCCACGCCTCGCGTGCCAGTCACAAAGTAACACTCTACTTCTCGCGCGCCTCGCGCGCCCGCAGCATCAGAAGAGAGGGCAACGAGGCTCGCTGGTGCCGCCGGCATCGGGAAGGGGGGGGGGGGGGGGGGGGGGGGGGGGGGGGGGGGGGGGGGGGGGGGGACACTGAGCACACGAATGTCCTCACGATTCAGGCGCACCCTTTCTCCTCAGCATGCGCTGCCGCCTGCCTGGCGTGGCCATGCTCGGCGCAGCTGCGGCGAAGAGAAAATGTGTTCGATGAGAAGCATGCGCGATGCGACAGGCTGCAGAGACGTGTGTCGCGTAAAGCTGTGCTGGCTGCCCCAATCGGGCAGGTCAATCGAATGCCTCGACGCACATGTCGTCCCGAGTGGGCCCCATGCACCTTGCGCCCCTTCTCGAGCCTCGCTGTCGGGTTGCGCCTGCCCGAATGGCAACTGACACAGCAGCGCGGTTGCGGGTAGGCAGCACCTGGCTCCCAGCGCAGCCGGCAGGGAAAGGCGTGTTTACCCCCATCGTGCTCGTGTGCGACGCAGCCTAAGCTGCATTGCTGTCGGCATGCCCCCAGGTCAGACGCTGGAGTTTGGGGGAGCAGCAAGCATGAAAGACGAGTCCGCCCTGCCTTGACGCTGCTGTCCAAGCCGGCCGAAGGCACAGCATCCAGCGAGGCGGGGGCATGGGTCCACGAGAGGCCTCACTCCCTCGCCTTTTTCTTTCCTTCTCGCTCTCTCTCTCTCTCCTCCATCAACCCCCATTCTCCTCTACGCAGTCAGCGCACCCTCCTTCTTTGCCCCGCCCTCCGTGCCGCCTTCACCACCCCCAACCACACACACACACCCGGTCTCTCGTGCCCCCGCTCTCCTTTGCTCCATCTAGTTCGCTGTCACACCTGAGGGCACAGTCATGGCCGTTCACACTCCTCTCATCTCCCTCCCCACGTCCGCCATTCTCGCCTCCGGTCCACGTTCCACTTCCTCGCGCTCGCCGTCGCGCACGCGCACCGCCTCCCTTGGCCATGCGCATATGCCGCGGCGTCGTACTCGGCTGCGCAGCCTGCTCCTCTGCTCCCGGCCTGCCGATGTCGAGTGCCAAGGCGACACCGACCTCGTGGCCAGCTTCGCCGCGCACGCAGCAGCGGCACGCCGCAGTGCGCTGCTGCGCGAACAGGCCGGCGTCTGCTTCGATGCGCCTCCGCCTCCGCCGGCCGTCAGCGTGCCTCTTCTGCCGCCTTCGCGTGCGTCGGCTGCGGCGCAGAAGCAGGAGCAGCAGCAGGAGCCGCGCAAGCAGCGCAGCAGCAACACCAGGCGCTTTGCGCGCCGCAAGTCGGAGCAAGGTAGCAGTGTGCGCATCGGCGAGCATGCGCCTGCGATGCGCGCGCGGCAGCCCGAGAACGACGTCGACGTCGACGTCGAGGCTGATGCTGTGAGTTTGTTGCCTCTGTGTTGCTTTTCGTGCCTCGCCCCCTTTCCCCCCCCCCCCCCCCCCCCCCCCCCCCCCCCCCCCCGCGCAAACGTCGTGTGACGTGCCCATCTGCCGATGCTGATACGGCGTGCCTTGAATCCGATAACCGCAGACATCTGCATCGCCTTCTCGCTGCCTTGCATGCGACATCTCCGGCTCAGCGCTCTCCAACAGCGCCGAGTGCGGGAGCGGCAACGGTCCTCTTCACCAACTCCCACGCCAGTCCTCCACGCCGCAAGTGCCGCTCTCGATGCCGGGCAGCAGCACGCCTCGAGCCTCCTGCCTCTCCCTTCGGCGCCTCGCCACCGCCGATCTCGACGATCTGCCCGCCATTCCTTCACTCCCCACTCTCGCCTCCGTCTCCGCTTCTGCCGATGGCGCTGCGGCTTCTTCTTCGCAGCTGCACTCGCAAGGCAGCCGCAGCAGCCACGCCACTCTCCCTGCTGCCTTCTCTCGCACTGCCGCAGGAGCAGGAGGCACGGCGAGGCAGTCGCCTGCGCGTCGGCGCAAACGCGCTGGAGGCTACTTCGACGCAGCCACGCAGAGGAGCGCTGCGCCTGGCGAGACGGTGGCGTTTGCAGGGGAGCGCTTCGAGGGCGACGTCGAGAAGGACGACGCTGCGAGACTGCCGGTGCCTTGCGGCTTCGAGCTTCAGCAGCTGCTGCAAGGCACTCGACGCGGGCCTGACTCGGACTCGTACCGCCTTGCCCTGCGCGCTGCCTCTTCGACATCGACATCGACGATGGTGCACCTCCCCGAGTCGCAGCAGCAGAAGCTTGCTGCCTTTGCCGTCGTCGCCGCCGCCGAAGCCGCTGCCATCGTCGCCGCCGATGCACAGCGCCTCCAGGCGCGTCGCACACTCGCGGCGCCTCTTCCTCCCACACGCGGCAGTTCGCGTCTGCTCTCCTCCGATGCTCTGCCTTCGTCTTCGTCGTGCAAGCAACAGCGTCTGAGCGTGCTCTCCACCCACAGTGCACTCAGCAGCTCGACGTGCCACAGCGGCCTCAGCGGCGACGAAAGCAACATGGACGACGTACTGATGCATTTCCCAAGTCTGCTGCCCATTACTATCCCCCTCGACGATCTGCCCGCCGCTCAACTCGAGGCGCTACTGCGACGCCAGACCAGCGGCGAGACGCTCGTCGCTGCTTCGCTGTACTCGCAAGACTCGGCACCTTCGCCGAGCACGCCTCGCGAGGGCTGCGCAGCGACGGCGACGTACGAGCTCGCTGCCATCTCCTTTGCTTCCGTCTCCTCCAACGACGAGCTCGACGCGCCAGACGAGACAGATGACAATTCGGCGTACTCGCAACTCGACTGCTCTTACTCGCACGAGCACGAGGGCGAAGCGAGCAGCGCGAGCAAGACGCCGCAGCGACCTTTTCTTTTCTCCCGCCCTTCGCTCGACGGCCTCGGGCTTCACACGACTGCTTCCGTCTGCACCACGAGCGCCGGCGCTGCGCCGCTGGGCATGGCCAACGAGAAGGACAGCATGTCGTGCTCGGCCAGTCGGGAAGCTGCGCTGTCTGCACTCTGCGGCGGCGCGAGCACGGCCTCTTCGACGGCGTCCAAGCAGCAGGAGGAGGAGGAGAAGTCGGAACCGACGGCACGTCTCTCGATTGACGAACGCCTGGTGGCGCAGATGGAGCAGCCGCATTGGCGCTCTAGCGTCGTGCAGCGCTTTCATGAGCATGTCGCACTCACTGTCGCCTCGCTCGGCGCAGGCGAGAGCAGGATGCTCGGCGCAACGACGGCATCAGCGGCGCCGGTGCGCATGCGGCATCCTGCCATTGAGCGTGCCTCGAGCGCCAAAATCGGCGCAGGCCACGGGCGCAGTCTGGCTCCCTCCTCCTCGCCGTGCACCTCTTCTCTCCAGCCTTCGACGTCGCCTGTATGCGCCTCACTCGAGACATCGCAACATGCGATACCTCGCATCGTCACTGCCTTTGTCCCAAGCAGCGCACCTCTTGCGCATCTCTCCTCCGTCCGACGCTCCTCTCGTCCCACACCCACTTTGTCCTCTCGCTCGCCTTGGCGTTCAACGACGCGACCTACAACGCCGCTGAGCCCGAGCTCGAGCTCGAGCTCGCAGACGCACGCCAATCTCCCGACTTCGCCGCCGCCGAGTGGACCGCTGCCCGCGCTGCCTCGCCTCTCCCCCGCCAAGATGCGCTCCCGACGTCCGTCGACGGCAGACGTACCCGCGCTGCCTGACGTCTCTCGCAAAAGCGGCTGGCAGACTCCTCCTCCTCCCCCAACGACGACGACGACGACGGCGACGGCGACGCACGTGTCTCGTTCCTCTAGCTCCCTCTGCCTGCGTGCTGCCCATTCTCGCAGTCGTTGCTCCTCCTCCTCCTCCAGCAGCGCGCCTGCTCAAGCGCCGCAGCTGCCCACGTGCACGCCTGCCTTTGCCGTTGCAGCCGCACGCCTCGTGCGCGCAGACGGCCTCGGGCCGCTCTCCTCGTCCGCACACGCGCGGCTGTACGAGTGCCGCACTGCCACTTCCTCCGGCCACATCGACGGCGCAGGTGGGGGCAGCGCTTGGAGTGCAGCAGCGGCGGCGGCGGCGGCGGCGACACGGCCGATGCAGCAGCTGCTGCCACTCGACTCGGGCGCAGCGCCGGGCGCCGAGAGGTGGTTCGAGAGCGCGGGCATTGCGTTCTGAAGCGCACACTCTTGCCCCATCGGCTGGGGGGG